AATGACAGGTCTCGAATTGAGCAGATACCTATCCCCCCCCCCAACCTAGGCCTGATGTACAGATTTGGGGAAGAGAGAAGACTGGCAAATACTCAGTCAGGTCAGGATATAAAGAATGGAGGAAGGCACAGAATACAAGTCAAGTTGAAACCTATGTGCCAATAGATTGGAAGCATCTATGGATGCTCGAATTGCCGCCAAAAGTTCGCATTTTTGTTTGGAGATGGGGGAGTAACATCCTCCCAACAGGAGTTAACCTAAGTCGACGAATCAAGGATGCATTTGATGAATGTCCTTTCTGTGGACTATTGGAAACCCAAGAGCATATCACAAGGGAATGCGATTGGGCAGGAAGGGTATGGAGACCTAGTAATCTAGCAAAAAAATTTCAGATAGGAGAAGGGAAAAGCTGCGAGACCTGGTTGTGCGATCTACTTGAGGAAACGAACAAGGAAGAATTAACCAAAGTACTAATCACACTTTGGTTCCTATGGAAAGAACGCAACAACCATTTTTTAACAACCCTAAACTAGAAGAGTGGGAGATAGTGGGAAGAGCCCAGAATTACCTGGAAGAATATGCGGAGCACCAAGCCAAGGGCAACCCAGGCATTCCAGCGCCACGAGCTCGATCTAGGGTGATCTGGGAGCCTCCACCAGTGGGGGTTCTAAAACTGAATACAGATGAGGCAATCCTGGGAGAAGAAGGAACAGGTTATGGAATGGTCTTGAGAGATTGGAATGTCAATTTTATTATGGGAGCTACTCACCGGACGAGGGTGCGATGGCCGGTTGAATTGGCGGAGGCGAAGGCGATGCTATGGGGATTGCAGCTAGCAAGAACTCACCAAACCCAATCGATGCTACTGGAATCGGACTGTCAAACCCTAATTCAGAAGCTGAATCGAAGGGAGACAACAGACATGGAGGTGGTGATGATTTGTGATGAAATCCGTGAAGCAGCCGAGGAGAATGACTTTTTGGGTGGAGATTCTGGAAAAGGGAAGGAAATGAATGTGCCCATGTGATGGCACGATTGAGAGGACGAGCTGACGAAACCGAAGTGTGGATAGACAGGCCTCTTGTCTGTTTGGTCACTTTACTTTCTAAAGAGAGCAATGTAGTCACTGAACTTTGATTTCTGAATACAGATGAATTGTCAAAAAAAAAATATACTTAATAATTATCCCATAAAAAATAATACTTAATAATATTAAATAAAAAACTCTACCCAAAATCTCATTTGAGCCGCCAACTACCCACTTTTACAAGGATATGATATTGATTTTGTTATTTATTTTCAAGTTATTTTGCTCAAATGAGTTCTGGCATAGAAAGATTAACGAATAAAGAAAGAAAAGAGAGAGAAAGAGCAGAAAGAGTGTGTGGGATTAAAAAAAATAAAAAATCAGTTCACTTTCACTTTCTTTCCAATTTGGAGGGACATGCTGCACAGTGTTTCTTTCTTCTCTTTTTCTTTCCCCCTCCACTGTTTATTATTTTGCAAACGGAGGAAAAGGGAGGAAAATTCCTTGGAACCCCAACTCCCCTCCCCTCCCCTCCTTTTCCATCCTAAAAAAAACAGTGTTAGCAAACTATGGATTTCGGTTCAAGTCCATGATGGATATATTTCCATGACCAAATTCATCACAAAACCCTCAAGTTAAAGACCTAGCCCACGTCTCTTGTAGATGCATTTTCTTCATGAGCTTTTGGTTTATGCTAATTAAGGTTACACTGTCCTGCTAATGAAAGCGACACAGACGTCCAATTGCTAAAATATTTGCAATCCTATCAAAACTTTTTTGCGCCCACAACCCCCTTTTTTAGGTGCCATGGATTGGATTGGAGAGGACATACAACATTGCTTGTGGGACTAAAAGACTCTTTGCTTTCTTCCTTTTCTTCTTCTAATTGGCGGAATAATGGGCGCACACACTAAATACGTCCAAATTGCAATCCAACTCCTTTTTCTGCTTTATTCAGCTAAATTAACAAGCTAACAAAATAGTTATATGGCTTATTACAACATGGGGTTGGGGGGGGGGGGGGGTGTAGAGATGAAGTCGACATGAGGTTAAATTTGTCCATCTCGATGGCGAATTTCGTGCTTCTGTTTTATAGTCTCGTCGAGAAAAACTAGATTGTTGTGCTTTCTACATTTATATTAAGGAGAGAAATTTGACAGATTTTTTGGTTCATGTGCATCTTTCCATTTATATTGGTATGCATTCTTTTAATGAGATTTGACTATGACATCTTTATCATAAAATGTTTTTCAAAAGAAAACACCGATACGGCAATACTGTAAACATTATAGAATTCTTCTTATTCAAATACAAAATCTACCTAATAAAAGATTTCACATTCCAGATTTGTAATTTCTCAGCAAAGCTTTTTAGGACTTTGTTCTCACCTTCCCCACTAATCATAAGCAAAAAGGAAGATAAAAAGAGAGTTTCGCACTCTATCTAATTATTTTCATAAATTAAATAAACCCAACACATGGTAATCATGCTTTTGATAGCTTTTACCATGGCGTGAGATACTCGTAATATGCCTACTTTAGACATATCTTTATCGGCTAAATTACACGTTTGGTCACTCAAATTATATAAATGTTTCACGTTTGCCACCCGAATTACTTTCCTTTCTTATTGACAACTAACTTTACGAATTGTTTCACAGTTAGTCACCGGCCGTTACACTCCGTTAAATTTGTCCTACGTGGCAGTCAACTATAAAGTTTGACCGTTAACTAGATGACGTGGAAATTAAAAAAAAAATACTTTATTTTCTCACCTCATCATTCCACTTAGTTTGTCTATATGATTTATCATATTAATTATTTAATAAAAAGTAATAAATTACAAAAAAATATTTATCAGCGGGGCCAAGAAATTGCAGAGGAAGGGTAGTTGGACTTTTCCAATCCCAAAGCCAACTCGGTGATTTCCTCTCCGGCCAGCGAACCTTCGTTCCCAATGGCAGCCACGTACATAACTGAGTTGACTCGTTGCTTGTCGAGCCACTCCTTAATCTTTCTCCATACGGCCGCGTCAACTGCCTGGCCATCATCCAACTCTCCATTCGCCACCGGCGGCAAGAGTCCAATGGCGGGTACAATCCTCTTTTCGTGAATCAGATTGAGAAGGTCAAACCACTTCGGTTTGAATACCGACGAACTTCTTACAATCAAGGCGTCGCTCTCCTCAACGGCGACACTGAACAAGATATGATCCGACGGCCGCGAAGAATCCTCCTCGGTTTTCTCCACGTACTTCGTGGCCTCGTGCAGACGATACGCTCGTATTCAAACGACACCCAATCGGGGGACACCGTGAAATCCTCTGTCCTCGGCCATGTATCTCCAACCCTGGCGTGCCGGTTAACGAGATTGTCGCTGCAGTGAAGAGACTGAAGAAGGCGTAATAGATCCGGCGGCCGGTGCTCGCAACGTTTGCGGCCTCTGCAATTTCTTCTTCCCATGCACGGATAATTTTTGTAATATATTAATTTTTATTAAATAATTAATATGATAAATCATATAGACAAAGCAAAGCAAGTGGAATGATGAGGTGGGAAAATAATTTTTTTTAATTTCCACGTCATCTAATTAATGGTCAAACTTTATAGTTGACTGCCATGTAAGACAAATTTAACGGAATGTAACGGCCAGTGACTAACTGTGAAACAATTCGTAAAGTTAATGGTCATAAAAAAGGAAAGTAATTCAGGTGACAAACGTGAAAAATTTATATAATTTGAGTGACCAAACATGTAATTTAGCCTTTCTTTATCTGAATTGCTATTCGTCGCCCTAAAATTTAAATTATTTCGCCCTAAATTTTACTAAATTAACGTTTATAGCCCTGTGCAATATCAATTACTAATCGCTAACTCCGATTGCAGTCTAACCCACCAACCGTCCGACCACCGCTGCCATTCCTCGAACCCACCACCGCACCCATTTCCCCACTCCGCCGACCTGCTGTTGCTAAGGAAGGAAGAAGACTCCATAAGGTTCTCTCGCCATTTTTTTTCTTCTTCCTTGACATTCAACAGCCAAAAGGTTTCCTTTCTCTTCTTCCTCCGTATCCCTAACAATTTTACTCCATAAATTCTCTTATCGATCAATCATTATCCCCTCAACTGCCAAAAAGCGACGATTGGGAGGGAGGGGTTCCGTTTCGCTTTCTCCCATATTTAGATGGCGGCGGGTGCAATGGCGATCGCCGCCGGAGCCGCGGTAGTGATGTACTACTCATTGAGTCGGAGATTGGTGGCCAACGGCGTCGGGGTTAATGGGGTAGGGCAAATTAGAGCGACTAGGGCGATGGATTGGCGACGGTTTTGGGGATTGGGGTAGAATCCTCTTTTTGGTATGTTTAGGCGAAAATTTTAAAAAATTAAACTAAGGATATTTTAGTAATTTTAATAAATATTAGGGCGACGAATAAGGTATTTTAGGGCGACGAATAATAATGCCCTTTATCTCTTAATGACTTTACAGCCACATCTTTACTTAATACAACTTTCGTAAGGCCAAATTGCTGAAATGCCTTTTTCACCTTTTTTTTGTTTTTCAGAAAAAGATGCAAAAATAAATACAGGAGGTCAAATCACCAATTAAAAAAAGAAAGACGATCCAACCATAAGTGGGCCGCTAATGTTTTCACTTATCAGCGTACAGTTCATAAAAAGCCTGCAGACTGCATTAAACCACAAAGCCCTTACTTTGGGCCCTAAAGCCCATCATTAAACAACATCGACCCAGCCCAGTGTTCCAACCCCATTAGACATTATTACTCATTAGTCACTCGACCGACGACCATACAATACATAGATGCAAATATCATATCACTCAACTTTAGGGCTCAGATGGTGCGTTTTCTAAAGTATGGGGACGTTAATTGTAATTCTCCAGTCTAGCCCTCTAGCGAGAAATCAATTCCCTGACCTTTCCTTCAAGAAATCCCGTTTACATTCCAAGTATCGAGAGTCGCCGGTGCTTAAAGCAAACCACTGCTTTACCCTTACAGTATCGCGAATTCTCCGTCCACCCCACTTAAGCAACTCACTGCTTTCCTCCGCGTCGCGAATCGCCGGCGCTTTCACCTTCTTACTCTTTCCATTCGCTGCTCCGCGGTCTCGCCGATTCGAAGGTATATGCGTCTTTGTGAAGATTCTTGCCTCTTTTGTGGGTTATGTAGTGGATCCATTTCTCGAATTCGATTTAAATGATTGGGATGAATGTGTTCAGCATTATGAGATCCGTCGACGATAATACACACAGTTTCTTATCAGATGTTCGTGGGAATTTTTTGGGGATGGTGGATAATCTAGGGTTTCTGATATTTTCCGTCGCCATTCGCTTGTGGGTTAAGATATGGTGTGCACTGGGTTTCGTTTTTGTGGAGATCTCTGAGAATTCTTGTTCAGTTTAGCTAACTGCGAGCAAAAAAATCTTGGTCCCGCTATGGTGATCTATTCTTCACTGCTACAGCTGCATCTGCTGTTCCTGAATTCAGTGTTAGTGTTAGCTTGTGATGATGAGCTACTTTGGCTCGCCCCCCTCTCCATGCCCTTGCAGTTGGCCTGCTTTAGTTTCATGATAGCTTTGGTTTGAATTGGCTGTTTAATCGACTACCCCTTTTGGCTAGGTGTCCTTAAACTTAAGGACGTACAACTTACCCTACTTCTTTCTGTTATATGCCAGTTGTAACTAAACATGTCGAGGAGATATGATAGCCGAACGACGATCTTCTCCCCAGAGGGTCGTCTCTACCAAGTTGAGTATGCCATGGAGGCCATTGGAAATGCAGGAAGTGCTATTGGACTATTGGCTAAAGATGGAGTTGTCTTGGTTGGTGAAAAGAAGGTTACGTCCAAGCTTCTGCAGACCTCAACCTCCACTGAGAAGATGTATAAGATCGACGATCATGTTGCCTGTGCTGTTGCTGGAATCATGTCCGATGCAAACATCTTGATCAACACTGCCAGGCTTCAGGCCCAACGTTACACTTTTAACTACCAGGAGCCCATCCCTGTCGAGCAGCTGGTTCAGTCTCTCTGCGATACCAAGCAAGGATACACCCAGTTTGGTGGTCTTAGGCCCTTTGGCGTCTCCTTCCTTTTTGCTGGGTGGGACAAAAACTATGGATTCCAGTTGTACATGAGTGACCCAAGTGGAAACTATGGTGGGTGGAAGGCTGCAGCCATTGGTGCAAACAACCAAGCAGCTCAGTCCATGCTTAAGCAGGATTACAAGGATGACATCTCGAGAGAGGATGCTGTTAATCTGGCACTGAAGGTTCTCAGCAAGACCATGGACAGCACTAGCCTGACTTCTGACAAGCTCGAGCTGGCTGAGGTGTTCCTCTCTCCATCTGGCAGCGTCAAGTACCAAGTTTGCTCTCCTGATTCACTTAGCAAGCTGTTGGTGAAGTCTGGAGTGACTCAACCTGCTGCTGAGGCCTCATGAAGTAAAAAAAAAAAAAAAAAAAAAACTAGAAGCTCTCTTCTTTATGCTTGTTTGGTTTCCTCACAATGGTACGTGGAGGATGACATATTTCAGTACTTTGTGCTTGTTTTAGACTGCAGAACCCATCTGAGATACTGTGTTGCGTGAAATCATTTAACTTTTGAATCTCTGTTGTTCAAGTGCCATGGTTGTGAATTTTCTAGAGATGCTTGCATGATTTAGAATTGCAGAATGATAGTAACAGAAGTTTTCTAGCTAGCTTCATGATATGCCTAGGAATCATTCTGTGTGGTGGAGTTCTAGGGATGAATTTGTCTATCTGGGTTCAACTTGGATATGGGAAAGTTTTGGTCCGTTGGTAGCTACTAGGTAGTTGGATTTTGCTCTGTTTGTCCTCTGCGATCCAAATTGTTTATCAAATTTGGTACAGAACCAGGGAACCCAATGGCCATTGCGCTTAGTGGTGGATAATACAAGCTTGGTTGGTTAACTGAACTGTTAAGTGTTAACCACAAACTGAAACGCCATTAAGCCTTGGTGACTGAATTGAAACCGTTGGTTCGATGTAAGAAACCTAACTAGTTTTCTTCTGCGCTTGTGTTTGGTTTTGTGCTTTTGTTGGTTTCTAAATGGTGGTTCGGATGAAACCAAAAAGAAAAGTTTGGTGCAAACCGTGGTAATAAAACTGATTACAGAAACCTATCAGGGCACGTGAAGGATTAACCTAAAAACCCAAACCTGAGCTTGCAGCCCAACGTTGGCCCAATCCCGGTTGCGGAGCCCATTGGATAGATGCGTACTGTATCTACTGGCCCCTCTGGGCTTAGGCCCGCTTGGGCCATGATAGGGTATCCCTTCCCTCTGTTGTCATGTCCATCTCTACATCAGCTGGTTCTACCAGTGGGAGTCAAACCCAATGTTCAAGAAAATGCTAGGCGCTATCTAGGCGAGAAGGCACCGTCCAGCGCCCAAATCGGTTAGTCGTTGTCTAGGCGAGATTAAACGTTGAATTACCTGACTTGCCGCTGGGTGGGTATGGAGATGCCCGCTTCGAACCTGCCCATTACATTAGCCTATAAATTAAAAATAAGAATGGAATAAAAGTAAAGTTTAGGGGACAAAAATAAGATTAATTAAATATAGGATTCAGGAAGACAAGTCTAGTTTAATTATCTATTTATTTTGATGTTATTACAAAAGAGGGGAGAAAAAGACAAGCTTTATGCTTTTCAGCCACCACCACCAGCCACTGCGCACTTCAACGCGCGGTATAGCAAAACAAGTCCTTTCTTTTTCAATCTTTGAAGATTGTGAGTCTAGGGTTAGCTTTTTTCAATTCATGGTTTTTTTCTATAGCAAAACAAGTACTTTGCTCTTTATTTATTTATGTATGTAGGGTGTTAGCTTTCAAGTTCCTTTTGGAGGTTTTGATTAATTGGGATGAGAGGTTCAAAGGCAAACACAGGAAAAGGACGCTGATTTTTTTACCTAAAGCCAAGTCAAATAGAGATTCCAACATTATGCAAAAGGGGAAAACATATAATACATGCTTAAGGCCTTCTTTTTCTCCTACCTTTCCTTAAGAGGTTGAAAATATGGAGAGCAACGAGAGCATGCACTGGTTGAATTGAAGTTGGCTGATACCTAAAGCACAAGATTACAATCTCCACAAAAATTTGATGGCTAATAAGTCTTTGCTTTACGAACCCAAACAAACTAAAGTATATGCTTCCTGCCTTCCTTTGCTTTGCTTGGAATGGTATGGTATGGTCAAAAAGGATGGATACATTTTGGCTTCATACCGGTTTTTCCATAGCTCCTTCTCCTTCCATGTACACACAGTCACACACATGCATATACTTACAATTTGACATGCAGTTGAGAGTGCTAAGACCTTGGCGAACAAGGTTGGATGTCAGATTGTACGAAGTCATTGAAACGATTTGGCTATTTAATATCGTCGACATCATATTGTTATTATTCCGGTGTTTCCACATTGCGGTTTGCACCCATATCAATAAATCAGTAACTCTAACTCGTCTAGCAAACTCGCGCGTTGTCATTACTATAGACGTGAAGCATCCCCTCATCAAACATAGATTCACCCCAAAAATATAGACCAAATATGTATCATTACAAACTCATTGCCAAGAACCAAGAGTTAATTAGAATCCTAAATACATGAATCTCATGCCAATCTGATCAGCAAGATGACTACCCCTGATTTCATGCTGCTCAATCACTCGAGTTGTTGGGAGGGATTCAATCGTGGATCATATACCGTTTTACTAACAATTGGAGGCTATCAGCTGGATTTTAAAAAATATCACTGTTATACCATGCTCCGAGAACGTACACATTCATCTCTGTACACTTGCACATGCATGTTTCCTTTCTTTACTACACAAATAGAGATCTATCTATCTCCATGTACGTACGTCATAAACCATCGATAGACATTATGAGAATCAAAAGGAACAGAAAGCTTTTTGCATTTGTCAATATGAAGGCGCTTTGGAAAGCTGGAAGACTGAATCGATCAAATATTGGATGAAGTAGTAGCGCGGAACTATATTAAGGAAGCCATTAACATAATATTCTGTAAGAAGAGGAGACACCAGGCGTACATATATAGTTAATCAAAGTACATGCAGCTGGAAACTAATATTGTAGTGTTTGGTTTTGTTGTGCTAGTTGGGAGATAAAATGAAACAAACAAGAGTAGTAGTTGTAAATTTAAGGACTGAGAGCATGAAATGAAAAGAAAGTAGAATCGATCGGACCGAGACGCTTGATTCCCGCTAGCAGCTGGAGTAGAGATAGCAACTAGCTATCGATCTTGCTCCGCGAATGTGTGACAAAGAAAGAAAGGTAAGCAAAAAACTGATTCACTTCAGGTGGATGCAGCTACATATATATATCTTGTGCTTGCTGATCTCTCTCTCTCTCTCTTTGGCTTTGGGGGTTTGGTTATTGGGATCTGCTTCATCGTCATCTTCTGAAGAATGATGATGATCAGGGTAATGATGGTGGTAGAGATGAGAAGTGGGAGAAAGGGCTGTGATGATAATGATGATGATGAAAGTTGGTGCTGAAGTAGAGGAAGGGTAGCCATGAGACGATGAAGCTGCGACCATTATGATTACTGGCTGTTTGGTGATGATAATGATGATGATGATGAGTAGCTATGATTATGCTCGCCTATATATCCATCTTTGTAACCCAAAACCCTCAACCCTTCAGAAAGCTAGCGTGGGAGGATTATGACTACTACTCCACTACTTTTGTAGAAAGAGAGAGAGTATCAGTGACTACTTTTTTCTTTCTTTCACAAGGAACTTGCAATTGGAAGTTGGGTCGTTTGGAAGTTGCGATTGTTTTGTTGAGATTGTCATTATGCATGTATTGTTTACAATGCATCGTTTTTTTTGTTTTTTAGCAGAAACAATACATGGATTGTTTCTGTGATGTGACAGAAACTATCACTCATTTTGAGTGATTGTTATATCTCAACTTTTAGTTGTGATTGTTGAGATAATTGAGTTGAGATTGTTTTGTCTCAGCTTTTAGCTGATGCGACATACACAATCACACATACCTGTATTCTACAATGCATCAAATTCGACAATACATGTATAATATTATACATGCATTCTCAACAAATACATCTATTTAACAATCACAACTTCCAAACGAACCCTAAATAAACAAACTCTAGCTTTCCCACTAAACCCTAGAGAACCTTTTGTATATTCAAACAAGGAAAAATAATCAAGTATATCCTTTCTTCTTTTCTACATGTCATGTCGGATCTTTTTTTTACAAGGGTACAAGGTGTCTTTCATTAATTATTATGAATTGAATTTTTGCCAGAGAGTAAGTTCGAGCTTAATCCCTTCTATCTTGCACCTTATGTAGATGTACTGGTCCGTTTAAAAGGACTAAGCTAGTAATATGACCGTTAGGGTTTATAGGAATCTACATATGTAAATTACCAATGAAAATGATAAAGTTCTTATCGTTTTATTTCTCGGTTTCTCGGTTCTTAGCTCCTTTTCGACTCAAGTTCGGTTCTCTCTCAATTCTGTTCGAACCCTCTCAAATTCCTCCTACCGTTACGAATCAATCACCACCTTATAATCATCTGGAGTACTCTAGACATAAAAATATGAGTTGTAGACTTCTTACCATAATGTAGCTTTGAGTTATGACTAATAAAAGAGGGAAAGCAAATGTTAGCATGTGTGTGGGTTGGAGCAAGTGAGCACCACCAGAAAGTATAAAAATGATGATGATTGGCCCCCATGAATACAGCCTTATCAGGGCTTAGTACAATGAGTCAGGAATATACAAATAGAGATATCCCATGTCCTAGATGAATAATATATTTGGGGGGAATTTTGGGAGGACAAAGATGCTTTGCTCTGTTAAGCAGTACTGGCAGGCAACATGATCATACACAGCACAATAAATGGTTTTGTACATTAATTTGGTGCAGAGAGGAAAAGGCTGTTTATGGACTGTATATGCGTATGGAATTCTGTAGATACTATCCTATACACTGCTTTTCTTGTTCTTGTTCCTCATATAAAATTGCATTCCTTGTTGGCGTTGAGCTTTATTGGGTCTAGTTAAAGCAAGCAAGACTGTCTCTCTGGCATATATCCACTATCTATCTGTGAAATAATTAAGAAAAACAACTTGATATCTGGGCTATGGACATTCAATAGCTAGCTAGCAAGCTAGGGCTCAGTTATGCACATATAGGATTTGTATTCTTGACATTCAGTGAAACAGTTCAACAGCTGGAACTGCCGATCGACTTTTTGGATGGTATCAGTTTATGCATAGTTACACGTACATGGTTAACTAAACTGGAGTGAAGCGACTAGAAACCGAAAAATGAAATTTAGGATTATTGATTTGATTGAGTCGCGGATTAGATCATTGACTCGCCACGAGTACACCGTGAAATAAACCCCGACTTAGAGTCCAAGTATAAACTCTAGCCGGGTGCAGTATAGGGCAAGTATGTTTTAATTGTCAAACCTGGGTCGGTCCGTGTTACCCTTGCTTCAATCGCTTAAGTTGTTATCTAGCAATCGGTTTTCGGTTTAAAACTAAGAAAACTACAAAATAAACAAACAAGTAAAGTAAATTATGGAGAATTCTACTTGAGAGAACTTCACCTGGGTATTGCTCCTCCTAATCTCGTATTAAGAAACAATGAACGCAACTCTAGTGTGAAGGATGTGTTCTTAATTATACCGTGAGGTGTGTGCAACTAGACAGGGACAAACTCTCCTAGTCGATCGATTAAGGATCGCAACAAAAAGCTAGTGAACCTAGCTCTCTCAACCGATCAACCAAGGAAACCCTAACTCTCTTAGTTGACCAATTTAGGATTGTTGCATTAAGTTAGTAGACTAGGAATGCGTTAGGATGAATACTAGTTTTTTAGTAACCATCATGGCTATCTACATCTAAATCGTTCATTAGCTCTATTTTTTCCCTTTTTTTTTAAATTACGGTCAATATTAAATTAAGGATAGTTTGGGAATCAAAATAATATCACACAAGATCATTACCTATATTTATAACTTACCTTCTCCAACCCTACGTCTGCCCTCACCTCCCTCCTACCTCCCCTCCCGCCGGCCACCTCCCCACCTCACCCTCCTCTACCCCGGCAGCGCCTCCCCACCTCACCCTCCCCTTCCGCCGGCGCTGCCTCTCCCCTCACCCTCCCTCACTCCTCACCCCATCCCACCATCCCACGATCCTCCCTTCTTCTTCTTCTTCTTCTTCTTCTTCTTCTTCTCTCTCTCTCTCTCTCTCTCTCTCTCTCTATATATATATATATATATATATATATATATATATAAAACAGCAGGAAGGAGCCAATGGGATCGCGGAGGTCGTCAAAGCAATCGCCAGTGCTGGTCAGCCTTTTATCTCCGACCCTTTCGTCTCAATGGTATTGTTTTTGTCGCATTGGTATTGATTTTTTTGTATTGGTATTGTTTTTGTCGCATTGGTATTGATTATCATGCAATGGTATTAATTTGCATGTATTGATGTAGATTAAATCTGCAATGGTATTGATTTTTTGTGAAATGGTATAGATTTATATTGGTAGATTGTTTATATTGGTAGTTTTCGTGTAATGGTATAGATTTATTTATGCAATGGTATTGATGTTTTTCAAAGTGGTAGTGATTGTCTAATGGATTGGTAGTGATTTCATGTTTTTTTATTTTGCAGAAAGATTGAGAAAAATAAGGAAAGAGGTTCTGACTGAAGATTACGGAAGTGAGAGAAAGATAGAGAATTATATTTAACAAAATTTTGTAACTACCTAAAATGTAATTTATTAAAAAAAATTATTTTCCATACCCAATTTACCTTTAGTAAGGAGTAATCACCGTAACCTGTCCCGAGTAGACTAACTCTATTACCTTTCGGCTCAGGATGACAACAATAGTCTAGACAATCTAGCTCCCTCTAAACCGGTCGACTAAGGATTGCAAACCAAATCCCTCGGAACTTAATCCGGATGGCGGAGAGCGACCAGTCACGTCAAATTCATGGTACTAATATGATACTTGAGTTTTTGGCCCTAGATCAACCCAAAAGATTTTACCCAAGTGGCTTGGAGATCAAGCTCCCTATGGGCCAAAGGGGGATTTCCACATTCTAGATTAATTTGACCCAATAGTGAGATAATGCAAGCAACGCTCAATCATTCATGATTAATACCTCAAATATTATATAGAACACACAATCAACACAACAGAATCAAGTTCTTACATCCTAACACATATCTAGACTAGGATTCACAATATCCAAGTGAGTAGGTAGGCTATTTCATAGCTAGGAAAATAAAAATAACAAAAAGGAGAGAAAGAACCATGAAGAGATGACAATCTTCCTTCCTTATTGCTTGAATCTCCATCGAGAAGAAGAAACCTTCAATCCTCTAGCTTAGGGCAAGCCCAAATTTCCTTCTTCCTTCTTTGAATGGCAATTTCCCTCTCTAGAATAGGAAGAGGAAACCATAATCTCTCACTAGAAACCCTCCTTCATTCAACACACTAAAAACGTACCAAAAAGCTCTCATCTTCTTCCTTCTACTGCAGACTTTATAGTCTGCAGAAATCAGCTCAAACACGGCCGTGTTCTTCAAAACTCGACGAAACACTCCATTTTTGCCCGACTTCACGACCTCTTCATTGATTATCATGGTCTGAGTGACCGTGATAATCTTTTGTGCCAGTGAGGCGCGCAAAAGCCTTTGGAGCTCAGCTGCTGACACACCCTATGAACACGAGCGTGTGTAGACTGTGTTCGTCGAGTGGAAATAATCTTTCGTCGCCTGAAACGTTGTCGTGTCCAAGTAGATGGTGTGGAACACGGTTCGGGAACACAGTCGTGGCCGTGTTCTCTTTGTTTTCTTTATTTCTTGCCATTCTTGCCTCCATTCGTCCCTAAACTCGTCCTCGACCTTCCCACACGTGCTAGGACCTGAAATGTATCAACAATAGCACAACCTAGCGTAAAATATGTCAAGGGACGATGAAATGCAAAGTCAAATTATTAAAAAATGAAGGGTAGAATGTGTACAATTAGACCCGAATCAATCATTTTATCAAAATGTTTGTGGCACTAGTTTGAAAACAACAGACTATCAATCAGTTGTCTCCCAACATAGTCATACACTCTCAAATTCTCTCATTTGTGCAAAACATAGTCATACACTCTCAAATTCTCTCATTTGTGCAAAAACAAGGAGATGAATGAATGCCATTCTTTTTTATGTCGCTGCTCAATTTTGTAAATCTTTCAGGGTTAGAATCCTTCTATTTTGGAGGATTAATTAACCACATTTTAGAAGGATAATTATTATTCTTATTAACATACAATATTTCACAAGAATAATTATATCCTTTTTTATTTTAGATAATTTATCAGAACAAATTGTCTCCAAAAACATTACTATTCACATCATCAATAATCCCTCATCCAGTCATTTGAATAGTTTCTAACATTTACCGAGCATCAACATATAGTAAAAGACCAAGCATAAACTTGCACCACAACCGGATCCAGCAAAAGATTCAGTCACTATTTAGCTAGGGTTGGACTAGAAGTCCCATCAAATTTTTGGATTTCTGATCCAATCAGATCTGCCTGCCTGCTTGTTTACTGTGTTTTGTGCTTCTTTTAGTTGACTACTCTGGAAAAGATTCTCTTCTCTTCCTCCCACTTTCTGAAAAAGGCAGGCAAGGCAAGGCAAATCCTGTCCTTTCACCAAGGTTCGGTCAACTTTGTATTGTTCGCGAAAAATGATGAACTCATTAGTCGGCCCGTACTCATAAGTCCATGGGCGGAGCTCGGCCCATATTTGATTACAAGCTGGGCGCATTCAGCGATGTAGGAGCCCAGTTCGGGATTTTGCTGAACTTAATTCGAGAAAGAATATGCGGACGGAGCCGAAGAAGAGAACGCGCGCGAGAAGCAGCACACGATGATGTTGATTGGGCGGTGGAGGCAGCCCTGCTGCAACGCCTCGTTTCTATGTTCTCTGGGGAATTTCGTCGAACACCTTCCGCTTCCAACTTCCTTATCAGTTCGTCCGACCAGAATCCAGGGGAAATCTGTTTCTGCTGTCGTAATTCGCAGCTCTTCCTACTTCGAAGCGTTGAATTCCCGCCAACAGGACCAGATTAGACTCTATGTCGATACTCTTCTCCAGTGGAACCAGGTAGGTGATTTCCCACGCCTTATCTGTGTTGGGATGTAGCTTATTTACCTCTCTCTTTGGAGCTTTTAGCGGTTCAGGTTTTTTCTTGCAGAAAATGAATCTCACTGCGGTCACGAGCGTCGATGAAGTCATGGAGAGGCATGTGGAGGACTCGCTTGCCCTGATTCCTCCGATAAACCACTCCTACTCTTCAAACTGCAGTGGTTCAGTTGACAGCCTGAGTGTCGTTGATGTTGGCACAGGCCCCGGGCTTCCAGGGTTGATTCTAGCAGCCGCTTGCCCAGGTTTGTCTTTGTTGTTTCCGTGCTTCACCATTGCGACTAAATTGTTTACTGTGATCTTTGTGTTTCGATGTTGCTGAATTTTGTTGTTGTTGTGGAGAGTAGGCTGGAAAGTAACACTTATGGAATCCATGAAAAAGCGCTGCGATTTCTTGGAGCATGCAGTAGACATCACTGGGTTATCCAATGTTCAAGTGGTGAGGGGTAGAGCTGAGGTATATTTTCCAGTCCCTCTTAGTCTATTAAGAGCTTCTTCGGCATACATGCACTAGGTGTGTGCGTTTTCATTTTCAGTATGTTGTTAGTGAATAGTGATTTATTGGTGTAGGACAGAACTTAGGGCAGGATGTTTCCTTCAGAGAAGAGTTTGATGTTGCGGTGGCTAGAGCAGTTGCTGAAATGAGAATTCTAGGTAAATGATATTGTCATTCCATTTGGATATGTGAGTGAGTTTGTAAATCTAAGTTAAGGGTTAAACTTTAGTATGTTGTTTATTTGATGGACAGTGGAGTACTGCCTGCCTCTGGTTCGTGTTGGTGGGCTGTTTGTTGCGGCGAAGGGTCACAATCCAGAAGTATGTTTGCATTCTCAATACTTTGTATTTGTGTGGGATGTTGAGACCAATGTTTCCATATATTAGGTTTGGATTTTGGAAGTGTATGAATACCCTTGGTTTTTTTGGTAACTATAATAGAAATCTAAGCTCTTGTCACGTACTTCTGTAATCAATTTTAAGTTTCAATGCTATCAAGACAAGCAGGCATCATCGGTCTTGGATATTCTTCATCCATCTTAACCATGGGTGGAAATTTTGTTAATATGTTTTATCTTTGACCTACACTGGAGCATTTTATGAATAGTTAATCACTAAGATGATCATGTAATGCTGATTTTCCTACATATGGTTGGACATCGACAGGAGGAAGTTAAAAGTGCAGAAAGATCAATGCAACTGATGGGTGGCTCTTTGCTGCAACTGCACCCAGGTATATGTTATTTGTCATCCAGATTACTATCCATTCATGTGCCTTACTCTCTTATTGCTCCAATAGGGAAAGCCACTGCAGTATCGTTTTAGGAGTAGGTTGGCTGCATACCCGGGGGAGACCTGGACACAACCAGCCACTGCATTATTCTTTTTTCTTGGGTAGAAGGATTTTTGCACCTCTTGCTTGTGAATGCTCAATGTCAATAAGTATGGAACTAGATCAAGATCACTTGGTCCCCATACTTAGTAGTTCATGCATTTTCTTTGATTACTGTGGAGAAAGGTGGAAACGTTTTGATAGAGGTCCCTGTTCCCCCTCAGTTATAGTTTACGCATTGAAGAGTATATTACAATCTTGGAACATAGTTTCCTTCTGCTGAGGTCCCTCTCCTAAGTGAACATCTTAATACCTACAGTTACAAGAGTAAACATTTCATTAGATCAACAAGGCTGGTAGCATAAGCTGGCATCTGATTGCATAACCTCCTTTACTCTCTTCTGAAATTAGTGTCTGTCCATCAGTCCTTGGCTCCTTGCAGTAAAGTAACATGTTATTATTAACCACATTCAGTGAAATCGCATAGCCCACATGGACAGAGGACTGCTATCATATGCTTAAAGGGTCGCCACACCCCAAAGAAGTACCCACGTGAACCAGGTACACCAGCAAAGTCACCAGTTTGATATCCATTCATATCCTTGTATGACCTTCACACATCTTCTAAAAATTAAAGATGAACAATTGTAGGTTGTATTCTCACGTCTCATCGTTGGGTTCCAGTGAGGAAAAATTGTATCGCAATCATTTTCCATGCTGACTTGTGATAGCATTAGTTATATTATTTTTGACATATTATTCATTGGTGAATGTGATCTTGAAATTCTGGCAACTTAGCTAGTTGAATATATAAGGAACTAGAACTCTAGTAACTCAACGATCCTAATACTCCATTATGCAAAGGACTTGTAGTTTAAGGATCTTCAGTGTGAATTGTGAAGCCAATTTGCCACATACTAAGTAGCTACTGCATAAAGGCTTTCTAGGGGTTGTATTACATGAAGCAAATTAGGTACTGATAGTGAATCATTTTCATCTGTGCTTGTCTTTGCTGAAAGTCTAGCTTCCCCGATAAGGTCAAGATCACATGTTTAGTTACTGAAACCCAGCTCCAGCACTGTTTTCCCAGCACTCTTTCTTTCCTGTTAGTTTTATTCTTGGACTTAAAATCTTTTTTTTAGTTCATCCATGAATGCTTTATGCTTATACTTTTAAAGTTGAAAAGTATTGTCCTGGTTGCTGCCTTCATTTACCTACTTCCTTTTATTTAATCTAGACCAAGGAATTGCTTGCCTGCCTTTCTGTTTGGTACTTAAGCTACATGTGAGACAGGAGCCCCAGAATTGCAGGGGGTTAGAATTGTATATAGGAACCTAAACTGGAAGATAATGTTGTTTTCTCACTTGATATTTTCACCAAGTGGCCAGGTTTCATTTTGTCAAGATTCCTTACATAACGTGATAGTGAAAGGGTTTTGTTTTGAAGCCTTGGTAAGTAGATTGAGTAGGTTAGAATCGTAGTGTTAGTATTGGCATGGAAAGAGGAACTTTACCTAACTCTCCTCCTAATAGGGTTTCTTTTGTTTATTCGAATCAGTAACCTCATTGGTAACCATTGTTCTTTGTTTATTAAGCCTAGCATAGATCCTTTACTACATATCTCTCCCAAAAGGACCCAATGTTTGGGACCATGTTCTCCATTTCCTTGTTATGGCATGACTTTCTGATCTGTATCAGTGTGCCCCCAATTATTTTATTTCCCCCTGCCAGCGATAGATGGAGAATGCTTTTTCCCATTTGCCATTTGGTGTCTAAAGGCCAAACTATAGCTTGCTCCATATTTGTTTGCTTTGATTGCTCACTTTACAACAGAAAGGTGGTCGGTTTTGCGGTACAGTTGAGCTTTCAGGTAACCCTACTTGAACCACAATAATATCTCATTGAAATATTCTTTTTTTTTTTTTGGGGTAGAAATATTCTAATATAGATTTCATGCAACAAATTAAATTTTTTCTGTTTATATAATCGTAATTCCTACGGCTACTTTTTGTATGAAGCCCCAACATTTGCCAGTTTTTACTTGGCCGTGGCGGAGCTAGAAATTGTGAATGACGGGTTGATTTAAATTGTTGTAATTGGAGGTTAAAGGATTAGGGCTATTATAATCGTTTGATTTATATATATATGTGGTTTTACATATATTTTAAATTGAAAAGGGCTACAACACCTAGATCCGCCAATATTACACGGTGGTGTGAGTAGGGGTGTACTACAGTCCGGTTTGGACTGAACCAAAAATTAATGAAAACCGCGGTATAATAGTGTAAAATAGAAGATCTCCTAGGATCAAGGACAGGAGCAACAGTGTATTCAGTCTGGGCCAATTTTCTTCAATATTTATACACAATTCTTGGAGATCAAGGAATGATCACATTGTATTCTATTCGGTATAGTCTTATTCAAGCATAAGTTTAATTCGATGCACGGTACGGACCAATCACACTACTAGTAGCCCAGTAGTGAGCAAGTTGGGGGGTGGGGGGGGGGGGGGGGGGGGGGTGGTGGTGGTAAAGTTTGTGCGACGGTGGGGTGAAGCTTCCACGGCGCTCCCCTGCTCTCCACGTCCGGACAAAGGCCGTAAGTAAGTAACCCACTGAAATGATTTGGTGGGCATAGACTGGCATTTTCAGCAACCAAATTATGTGCTGTCCAATTAGGAGTTTAAGGTCCCTTTCCTCCACATACGTTTTCTTGTGTAAGCCTATCATTTTGTCATTTTGTCTTGGGATATTTAAAGACGGGGGGAAACTGGAAAGTGGACTGTGCTAGTTGTATGGATGTGTTTAGGGGGAAAAGGTTAGGGAAGAAGAGAATGGAATTGTGTCGACTAGTTGGACAAATTGTGATAGTTGGGAATGAATTGGATCTTTCTATGGACCAACCAAACCAAGCAAGGCAATTTCTTTCTTTTTAGCTCGAGGGGTTGGAGATTGCTGAGTAGAGAAACCAATTCTTGAGAGGTTCTATTCTATTGGGGCTTTGTTATATGGAATCGGAACAGCGGCTGCACAAGTAGAATGGCAAAATTGGTTGTAATTTCGGTTTGGGTTTTTTTGGTCGGTTTGAGATGTACGAAACGGTTTTTAATGGTTAGATATAAAATTATATTGATTATACAAATTTTACTGGTCCATTAATTCACTGTTTTAATCACCAAAAAATTGTCAAAAAAAAAAAAATAGTGTACTAAATACGTGTTTTATGTTATAACGTAGGAATGATTCTATCAAAGGTTGTTTAACGATTACCCTTTGAACCATAAAACCACTAAATTTTTAAATTCATAGATGGGGGAGCGAATGGGAGAATACGGAGAATCCGTATTTGCTAAACAATATGGTACTTTAACTTAAAGTAAGAGCATCCGGCATGAAGTACTAATTCTATTTGTGCTTCATTTTCTTCGCTTCCCAACCTATTGTCGGTTTTGTGTGATCCACTGTGGATTGTCAATCTAATTACTAACTTGAATTCAATATAAAATCATAATTCTTTTTTTAGATAGTTTGAATGATTTATTAGAACTTTTTGGTGATGAACGATATATAGATTTAAAAATGTTCATGGTTAGAGTAATAAATTCAATCATAAATTAGTGAATTATATATGTGTTTTATGTTATATCGTAAGAACGATTTTATCAATAGTTAACCAAATGTTCCACAACGGTTTACCGCTGAACCATAAACCAATAAATAATTCCCTGTTTAGCATCTGGTATATGATTATGAAACCAGAGATCAAAAGATCGAATGAGAGAATATCGAGAAGTCGTATTTGCTAAACAATATTGTTTGTGCCTAGTAGATACTAGGCGGTTTGTGGAGCTGGGGCGAGGCGCCTGTTCTTGGATGTCGAGAAGGACTCCTGATACTCTGCAAAACAACGGTCTGGAGCGGGTCGCTCGGGACACCCTCTGAAGCTTAAGTTAGAGAGAGAAGTGGAGAGATAAGAATTTATGTAGAGAGATGAATAGTAGTTGGCCTTACCATTAATGCACTCACCCTCTATTTATACCTGGTTAAAGGGTGGTTGGGGCATTAAATGCTGTGTCGGGCGCCCCAGACCTGGTCGGGCGCCCTGTGTAGGCTCTTTGGGTAATGTCAGGCGTCCTGGGCAGGCTTTCAGCCTTTTTGCAGGCCGCCTGTGGCTGGCAATAAATGCTCAGTCTTGCCTGACACCAGATACGCATCTTCAACGGCTCCTTGGCCTTCTGCGCTGCTCAGTTGCTTTATGTCAGACGCCCTTATCTATTCCTCGGGTTCGCAGTCGATCATGGACCGCACGCTGAACCAGTCTTCCGATCGGGCCCGGCCTCCTTATTGGGCCTTAAAGTCCGACTCGCCTCTCTTGGGCCCGAGGCCCAAGTACGCTCAACTATGCGGCCCAACAATTGCCCCTTAGGCGGGAAAAGCCTAGGGTTTTGGCGGCTACCAATAATGCTCTCAGCTAGTTGAGCGGTTTGCTCCTCCTCCTTGTCCTATTCTGCCCCTGGTCGCTGGAGACCTAGGGTTGTCCTACCTAAGCAGCGTCCGACCGCCTTACGGGTTTTCCTGGCAGAAACACTTTATACACGTGGCTATGCGTTGGTTTCCGTGCTCTGACACCGGGTAGGCAAAACGTCCTTTTGCCTGCCCATTTTTTAATTTTGCGGCCTAAAGCTCCCCCTCGGGCACTCAACCGTCACATCAGTCTCTTCTGCCGCTATATATACTCCAAGTGTTTCTGTTGAGAAGAACCTTCGCATTCCCTCTTTCCTTGCTACTTATTTCAAAATTGCGCGGTGCTCTAAGTTCTCTCTCTCTCGTTATCTGGAGACTCATCCTTTGATTCCGGCGGAACAACATCAGTTTCTTTCTTCTCTGAGAAAATCCCAGAAACGAGACAAGAAGAAGAAGAGAAAGCAGTTGTCTGCGATGGTTTCTCAATCAACCACCCCTTCCGATAGTCAGAACCGCGGCCTTTCCGGCGAATTGGCGCCGCCGTCTGCTTCCGACGTCGCCACCAACACTCCTTCCGCTGCTGTGACGACCACCACGTCCAGCACGGAGGCGGCCACTGCCACCGGCAACGTCGCCGCTCCTCGCGTCAGCGTTGGTCCTACGCGTACCGCCGCTAAGACCGTCAGTGCAGGCGGTCCTGCCCCTGGAGCAGGTATGCCCGTTTTTTCCCACCCTTTAAGTTTATCCGACATAGAATGGGATTCAGAGGGTATTGAATTGCTGTGTGGGCGTGGTAATGCGGTTGTCGCGAGCGAGCGTGTAGATAGACCTGACGGTTGCATTTTAGGGCTAGGAGTGGGCGCGCTAACCGACACGGCTATTTCCTTGATTGAGCGCGGAGCGACCTCCCGGGTTGGGGACAACCTGGTGGAGCTGTCCTCTGAAAACGTGCCGGAAGACACGCCTTGTGACTCAGCCAGGGAGGACTCGGTCGCAGATTCTCTTTCGTTAGCTCTGTCAGAAACGCCGATGATTCATCCGTTCCAGGCGGTTGCGGATCGCGAGTACCGCGTGCGTCTCCATGCGGATATGTGGGAGGGAAGCGAGGTTCCTGATGCGGTTTATTCATACGGGCCTAAGTACAAGCCCGCTTACTCTCCTGCCCAAGTACTCCGCCAGCTTCATAGGCACCAGCTTCCTACTGACTGGGAGTATGCGGCTCCATCCCCCGAAGGGCGTTGCGGCTCTTGTCCTGTTGGGTGGATCACCTGCGTTCTGAGCCGCCAGGCACCCAGAAAAAGCAGAAGACCACCACCCTTACCTCCAGTGCGGTGTACTCACCGCATGTGACCTCTTCGGCTGAGCCAGCTCGCCGCGCCCTTCATGCGATTGCCGAGGGGTTCGCAGTTCCTAGCGAGTACATGCGCGTTGCGAGTGCTATCCCCACAACTTCTGATACTCGTCATCTGGCTGGGACGACCGCATGATGCTTCTTTGCGGTGAGTGACTTAACTTATTTTCAGCTCCGCTATCAATATGTGTATGGTACTGACCGGCTTTGTGGGTGTAGGCTCAATTCGGGATAAGCCAACTTATCCTGGCTAACGAGCGCCTGCTCGATGACTTGGGCGACCGCGAGACCAAAATCCTCACGCTCGAGGAGCAGGTGAAAGAGGGGCGCGAGGGTTTCCGCCGGGAGCTGCGAGATGAGATCCTCAAGGAGCACGAGGCGGCCTTAAAAGCGAAGGATGACGAGCTGCAGACCGCCTGGGGGGATCTGTCGAAGTCAGCGCGGGAGCTGGAGGAGGCTCAACAAAAGGTGCGGGAGGCGTCCGAGCGGGAGAAAGGGCTGCAGAGCAAGGTGGAAGAGTTGGAGACCCGGGTGGCTGACTTGGAAGCGCGGCGGGAACGGGAACTCCACAAGGCTAGGGAGGACGCTCGTGCAACCTTCTTTGACTCGGACGAGTTCAAGGCGGTGGATGAAGCTAAGTATCAGAAGTTACTGCGGGATACGTTAGCTTCCATCCGCCACCTGTTCCGCCGCGAACACCCGTATGTGTTGTGGGACCGGAATGCGGTCTGGGACGCGGTGGAGTTTTGGGGTGACAATGATGTCAACTCCGAAATGGAAAACCAGCCCGCGGCCGCCGCACCCACCACTGGGGAAGAAGTGAACCAGCCCGCTTCCACTGAAGGCGGCTCCTCCTAGTTCAATCGGCAATTTTAATCAAGTGTTGTTTTCTTACTGCTTTTCTTGCTTTCTCCCTTCGGGGAGCTTGATACATTCCGCCTTCGGGCGAGGTTTTGGTAATATTTGTTTTGGATGGCGCTTGCGCTTCTTCTTCTTACCCTCCGGATGTTTGGAAATCTTTACTTGCAATTTTTATTGTCTGTGTTTCCTCCTCCTCTTCTTCTTTCGTTGGGGAATCACTTTGAAAGGAAGAGACGCCCCTTGGACTCCTGCCACCGGGGCGGCTTTGGTCCTTTTACTTACAAGCGCCTCGTACCGTTCGGGGGCGGTTTTTTTAGCCTGTGAGGTGGGACTGCATTTGCAAGACCTTTGCGAAGTATTATGTTATACTTTCTACTCTGTGACATAGTTTCAGTCTGGGTTGGGGGCATGGGCCCTTACTGTTCAAGTTAGGAACTTGGGGGAGTTTCCCGGATGTTGTGTGTGATACAAGGGCGGTTTAGGTAGTGACTTATTGTTCGAGTTAGGAACTTGGGGACTTAGTTGGGCACGTTGCTATCGCTCTGGGGCGGTTTAGCCCCTAATATGGCGTTGCAGGCGGTTGTACGCGAGTGGTTAACGGCTATGTTAAGCGGCCGAGAGTTATGAGAATAACTTAGATTAGTAACATAAAAACATATCGCTCAGTGGCGACTTGAATTACTGAAGTCATTGACAGGAGTGTTGACTACCACTCTAACAAAAGCGCCATTGACCGCGGCGTTGACCTCTTACAAAATTCCTACGGCTTACTCCTCCTTACTCGCTATGGTACTTCCTTAGGTGAATAGCATTCCAAGTCTTGGCTACTGGTTGCCCCTCCATGGTAGCTAGCATGTATGTGGCGGTCCCTATCTTCTCCCCTACTAGGAACGGTCCTTCCCATATGGCAGCCAGCTTGCCGTACCCCTCTTTTTGCTCGAAATTCCTCTTGAGCACCATATCTCCTTCCTCAAGCGGGCGAGGCTTCACCTTTTCGTTGTAGATTTTGGCAACCTTGAGCTTTTCCTGTATGGTTCTCACCAGGGTCGCGTCTCTCCTTGCCCCTATCATGTCCAGCTGGTGAAGAAGCTTTTTGTGGTTTTCCTCTGGGTCGTACGTCTGGACCCTTAGCGAGGGCAGAACGACCTCGGTGGGAGCAACCGCCTCGGAGCCATACGTCAGGGCGAATGGAGTTTCTCCGGTTGCTCTCTTGTAGTTTG